GGGAGGCAGGCCTGCAAGGCTCGCTCTGTCACTTGGAAAACCTCACGGAGACCTGAGTTTGGTTGAAATGAGCCACTTGTGTCTAGTCTCCTGTAAATGGACGCTGTGCCTCACAGGTACCAACACTTCCCCTTCCCCTAAAGTTAGACGTCCACCCTGAGCACAGCCCTCCCTGCTGGGAACTTTGGTTGCTAGAGAGTTTATCATATTTATTAAATTGCATCATGTTCAGCCCAGTACCCTGGGGACCTAGGAAAGGTAACCAGGGAAACGGCATTCTACTCGACCACGCTCTGCTTATAATGAGGGCTAGTTTTTAACTTCAAAAAAGTTAATATGTTCTGAAACGTTTCCTTTCTCTTTCCACTCTGCGGGTACTACTGCCTGCCTCTTTTGGTTGTTCATGCAAAAATGTCTCCCAGGAAACCGAACCTGGAAAGTAAATGAGGCAGGAGCCAGGCTTTCTGTGTGTGGGCGCGTGCGCACGCTGGCCTGGAAAACAAGCCGCAGGCCGACTTCCCCACAGCTAATCGCCCGCCCCCCACCGCTCGGAGAGAAAGAGTCCTGCAGCCAAATAATCTGTGGTCAACCCAAAAGAAAAAAAATCCCCAAAACTCGCCACTAGAAGTCATCGTTACACTGTCAGAAAGACTGAAAAAAAAAAAAAGAAGCCCAGATGCGTTTTCAAATGCAGCCATAGAATTTCCGCCTTGAAGGAATTCCTGCTCTTCCAACAATTTCCTGTCGGTTGGAAGGAGCTAAGTGGGCAGTTTCCAGGCCGGCTCGGCTCGTTGCCTGGGGAGCTGTCCGATCAGCCTCACGACCTCCCCGCCCCCTGACCTGGGGAAGGACAGCGGCATGAGGAAGTCTGCTTGGCACTGCCAGCTGCTGCCAAGGGTCTCTCCGGGGGTCTCTGAAGAGGCTTGTGGCAAAATGTCAAGGGACGGCATCCAACATCCTGTACCCCCGGGCAGCCTCCCAAAGCCTCCATGCTCAGCCAGTATCCGTGCAACACGCATTAATTGAGCAGCTACTATGTGCCGGGCCCCGTGCTGGGCGCTGGAGTACAAAGAAGCCTGCAGGGTGTGGTGTCCAGCTGTGGTTTCTGCCTTCCTGGGGAGGACCCCGTCCCTTCCTAGAGGGAGAGCACCCCCTTCCACGGGTCCTGGTCAGGCTGGAAATCCCGTGCCCTGCTCCTTCCTGTCCCGCCTCCCCACATGCATGTGACTCGGGCTGGTCCGTCAGAGCTTCCTCAGAGATTTCACGTGTCAATTGGGGTCCTAACTTGAAAGGCACAGGCTTGGTTGCTTGCGCTTGTCTTTTCCCACACATGCAGCCAGCCTGCTGCCGAAAGCCAGACTCTGAGGGAAACGGGAGAGACTGCCAGTGGGGCTGTTCTGAGGACATCACTGGAGCCCCTGGATCTCGCCAGGCCTGAAGCCAGCAGGCCTTCACACCTCCAGCAGCAGGAGCCGACAGTGGCTTCCTGTTGTTTGGCGTAAGCAAATTTTGTGCATTGTTATCGTACTCGAAGGAGTCCTGGCAAGTCAGGCATCCATGACTCACAAATAGAAAAACTATCAATGTGGTTACGCTGTATTTCCAGTTTGACAACTGGGGTGGATTGGAAAATGGCTACAAATGCTTGGCAGCTTTGCCCTCAAGTGGTGGAGTCTGTTTCCCACCCTCTCAACCGAGGCTGGCCCTGCCACTTGCTTTGACCAACTGAATACGGTGGAAGTGATGTTGGGCGACCTCTATGCAAGTTCTTTTAAAAAAAAAAATTTTTTTTTTATTGATTTCAGAGAGGAAGGGAAAGGGATATAGAAACATCAGTGATGAGAATCATTGATTGGCTACTTCCTGCACACCCTCCACTGGGGATCGAGCCTGAAGCCCAGGCATGTGCCCTGACCGGGATTCAAACTGTGACCTCCTGGTTCATAGGTTGACGCTCAACCACTGAGCCACGCCGGCCGGGCTCTATGCAAGTTCTTAAGGCCACTGGCTGACTGTGGTTACACGAGTGAGGCCAGGGGACAGCAGCAGAGGAACCTTCCAGGGCAACCCACAGATTCTGGGAAATAATAAATGACTGTTTTAAGCCACTACGTTTTGGGTGGCTTGTTACACGGCAGTAGGTAACGGATACAGTGCCCGAGCCTGGCTTCTCACCTTACGGCCACATTTCTCAAAGCCTGGTCTCGAGACACCTGTGTCAGAACCTCCAGTGTCTAACCAGAACCCTGCGGCTCCCCTCCTCCCAGACTCCGAGAAGGGCTGCCAGCTCAGGCCCTGGGTCTCCAGAAAGCAAGGTGCCCTACGACCTGCCTCTTGTAGGATAACGTTCAGTTGTGTCTAGGGGAGAAATCAGCGGGACCCTCCCCAGAACAGCTTGAATTCACCTGTTCAGGCCTCGGACCCTGTTCCACACTCTAAACCTCTCTGGTTCTCTCTTCGCTCTCAGTCCTCTCTGACCCCAGTGCTCACCTCTTCCTGCCAGGAAATGTGTTTTCCCCACCGTCCATCCCTCCTGGTTGACCAAACAGTTGTTAGGGGAGAGTTGGAAGGAACAGCCTAGAGGTTAACCAGACCTAGGTTTGAATTCCAACTCTGCCCCTCACACTGGGCAACCTCGGGCAAGTTCCTTAACCTCTCTGAGCGTCAGTTCCCTCATCTGTAAGGTGAGGGTGAAAGATGTACAAGCTCATCGCACGTCGAGTGCACAGGACACGGCCCAGCGCACAGTAGGTGCTCAGTACATTGTGGTTGTAGGGGATGTGCCTTGGGATCAAAGGAGCAGTTCCCAAAGTGATGGCTGAGCGTCCTGGGGGAGGAAGAGGTGGTTTCTGGGACAAGAGGCAGGGGCGGTCCCTCCGCGGCCCTGCTTGCTGCCGGGCCGTCCTTCCCCTTTGACCCCTCACCTTGTCCTGCTGGGCCAGGTCCGGGTCCACATAAAACTCCCCGGGAGGGGCTGCCCCGGGCACGCCCTCGGCCACCGATTGCTCCAGCAGCTCCGCGGCGCTGGCCCACACTAACGCAAGGGCAACAGAGAGCACAGGGGAGGTTGTGAGCTTCCCTAAGGTCTTAGAGAAGTTTTCAGATTACCCCTCACATCCATTTCCTGCTGAGATTCGCATCTCATGTAATTAAACAATGACAGAGTGATGTGTACGTTCCTTGCAAAACAATGGAAGCATCAGACACGTGTTAGAAAGGGAAAGGGCCGCCTCATTCCTCCTCCCCGGCATTAACTGCTGATTCACGTGGATGCGTCTCTTTCCAGACTTTTTCTGACGCTGCAAAAGAGCCGATGACCTTAGGCAGGTCATTACTCTCTCTAAACGTTAGTTTCCATAGACATAATCTAGGGATGCTAACAGCCTCAGTTATACAGGGCTGAGGATTACATGAAATAATGACGTAGAGCGGGGGTTGGCAAACTACGGACCTAGGGACAAATCTGGCCCTCCGCTTGTTTTTGTAAATAAAGTTTTATTGGAACACAGCCGCAGTCATTCATTCTTAATTGTCTGTGGCTGAACCCAGCTACAATGGCAGAGTTGAGTAGTAGCAACAGAGACCTTCTAGCCAACAAAGACTGAAATATTTACTACCTGGCTCCTTACAGGAAAGTCCCTGCCACTGAGCTAGAGCACTGAGCACTAAATGCTAGTTATTTTTATTGCAATAAGTAAAAACATAAAAAATATGTGTTTCAATTGCAGAGATTTTTTTTTTCACCTGACAATATATCACGAAGACCTTCCCATGTTAGTATTTATGGATATACTGCCTTCTTTTCACAATAGCATTGTAGTCCACTCATTGCACAAGGGTCCCAAAACATATTTAACTAGAACCCACTTGACAGATGTTTGGTTTCCTGATTTTTTTCTTATTTACCTCAATATGACAAAGGCTGTTGAAATGACTCTGAGGGGGTCTGACATAGTTTCCTTTGGGGGCCCCACTTTATCAAACGTATCAGGCTGGGGAAGTGCATTCACATGGACACTGAGTACACTTTTTGGTGTGGAAACTTTTGAAAGGCTTTCTGTAATTCTGCTTTTGAGCTCGCTTGGCTCCGAACACTGCATTTTAAGTTTCCAACTGACTACGATTTCTGCGTGCATTCTTGTCTTTGTGAAGTGATAAATTGAACCAATTCTTTTCAAGGGCAATGAAACATTCATGGGCGTTGACACTAACCATGAATGAAGTACGCACCGTCACACCCGTGGACGTCCATTCATTCACGCATTCATTCTGATCCCGCACTTTTATTTGTGCATTTTAGAGCCGATGACTTCCCCCCAGGTCTCAGACAAGCGGAGCCCCGCTCAGCTACGTCCAAGGTGCTTTCCCTGTGCTGGCAAACATGGCCAAAGTCCGACGCCCTCTGGTGCAGCTGGATCTCGGATCACGTCCCTGCCCTGCCCAGCCCTGGCCATCACTTCTCATTCTTACATGGTCTCAAGCCATGCTCCTCTGGGCGCACACCCTTCAGGCACACTGACCATCCCCTCGCACTTGCCCCCCCTCCAACATGGCCCTCAGGGTCCCTTCCACCCTGTTCCTCCCCTACGTTCTCAGCGAATGTCACTCTCCTGTCCGCACTCAGCGTGAGTCTCCCTCCCTCTGGGACGCCGTCCTGATCCCCCGATTAAGTCAGGTCCTTCCGGTACCTCTCCTGCCTGGAGTTGTCACTTTATGGATGTCGTTCTGTGATCGCTCTGTTAATGTCAGTCTCCCTGACTATGGGGTCGGGGACCATGTCTCAGTTTGTGGCCCTCAACATGAACTTACTAATCCCATCCGACAGATGCGCAAAATAGGGCACAGAGAGAGAAACCCCTGCCCACGCTCACAGCTAGAGAGAGGTCAGTCCCCGGGGCCAACCTCTACCTTCTTCACTCACAAAGAAGAGGCGTTCGGACGCCCCGGAAGCTTCTACAGGCAGGAAGCAGAGAACACTACTTAGCAGCACACGGGTGAGACCTTTTGTGGAGAAGGCAGGATGGCTTCAAGGGCAGAGCCAGTGGACCAGAGTGAAGAGCCAAGAGCCACAGACAGTCATTTCTGGGCAAGAGTAGGACCAGGGCCGAATCAAGAAACTTCCAACACCTTCCCGGCTGGATTTCAGAATTGCTACGGACCAGAGGCTCCGGTGCATTTCCTGTTTCGCTCCTTTTTGAACAAGAGGAGTGTCTGTGGCAGTTATGCTACGTCCATGGAGGGTGTGTGTCTGTGGGTCACAGGTCTTCAGATTGCTGGGAACAGTATTCGAGCTGAACTTAAGAAACAATGTCATCCTTTTTTTTTTTTTTTGCTTTAGGATGCTACATTTTGAGAGCATTTTAATGCAACAACTGATAACTAATACACATTGCATGTTAATATTACATCAAAAAGTCAAAAACTGTTGAACTCTAATTAATGATATCTATCCTAAAATATTTAGGGGGAAGACTACAGCTATGTGCAGTGTACTTTGAAATGTATCAAAATATAGGGTGGATTAATGCATAAGGAGAAGGATGGATAGAGAGATGGATATGTAATGAAGAGTACAGAAAAGCGGGAATGGTAGAATTAGATGGGGGTTATCTGAGAAATTACTTTTACTTGGCCGTTTGTTTGAAATTTTTCATATTAAATGATTGGGGGGGAGATGGCTGAGTAATTTCTTGACTTGGGTGGTAGGTACATGAGGGTTCACCTGGTGATGACAATGATGATGACGTAAACTGAAGAGATACATTTTATTTACTCCTTTGTCTCTGTATTTCACAAGAATAACTACTATTTGCGTGGCTGAGCGACCTGGGGGCTCGGAGGGTCTGGGGCTGGGACACAGAGGACAGAGAGTGGGACCGGGACCCAGAGGCCATGACGGACACCCAGGAACCAGGCCAGGGACTAAGCTGAACCCGCTGCTCTGCAGTGAGGCCGGTGTGGCCGAGAGCAGGGTGACAGACAGGAAGTCCCTCCCCCGCCCCCAGATGCCATGAGGCCTTCCAGGGGGAGAGGGTGGGGGACAGGACCTTGAAGGCTATGTGTCCCCAAAGTGACCGGGCTGTCAGTGACCGTCACTAGCATAACCAGCCTTAAATTTTGCTAAAAAGCATTAGACTAGATTGAGTGTCACCTCTGGGGAAGTAACTTTCCTCCATAAGCCTCAGTCTCCTCTCACCTGCAAAATGGAAATCAACTATTTATTTATTAAAAATATTTTTATTGATTCCATAGAGAAAGGAGAGAGGGAGAGGGAGAGGGAGAGGGAGAGAGAGAGAGAGAGAGAGAGAGAGAAACATCAATGATGAGAGAGAATCATTGATCAGCTGCCTTCTGCACGCCTCACACTGGGACTCGAGCCTGTAACCTGGGCATGTGCCCTGACTGGGAATCGAACTGTGATCTCCTGGTTCATAGGCCGATGCTCAACCATTGAGCCACGCCAGCCAGGAGGTAATCAGCTATTTAAAAACCGCCTAAGGCAAGGGCATGTCTGCACGTCTGAGTCAACGTGTATACATTTAGATCCTACTACCCACTCATATATGTGTACACACACACACACACACACACACACACACTCAGCACAGAGGTACTGACGTGTGCACGTGGACAGTGCACAGAGTCGGGAGGAATTTACACCAAAAAGTCCACAGGGGAAATCGGGTGGTGGCTGATCTCTAACTGCTTTCTTAGGATTTTTTCACAGCTGACTATGTTCTACTGTGGAATCAGAGAAAACAAGCAAAA